TATTTTCTCATATAAATCCAACATATCGCATGGTGATACAATACATAATGCATTTAATATACCTTTATGAGTAAAACGTGAACAATAACCATGTTGTCGTACTCCACGCATATCTGTTAATGTAAAACGAAAATATTCTGGTTTCGATGTTTTTGATGATAGAAATGTATTATGATTATTATTTGAATCATGTTGATCAGGAAAACAAAAATATTTTAATGATAATTCAGTATTTGCATCTAATGGATATTGAAAACGAATAGATGTTGATGTATGAATTTGATGATTTATATTTAAATTCGATAATGAAAGACAACCATTTCCATTTGCAAAATAACCTAGTTCTTGTTCAGGTAAAATATGTACAACATAATCATATAGAGTTTTTAATTCACGTGAAGCTGTTGAATGACTTGGCTCAGTAAAGAGACTTGTCATATGACTACCGGTACCTAAATAAAATCATATGAATTGGTTTTAGCATTTCAATCAAATGTCAATAGAAAATAAGATACATACCTAAACTATCATATACATTTTTCACGCGACTAACATGATCAAGTCTTGATATTCGAATATCATCATTATTTTCTGATGTTGTACTAGCTGAATCATCACTATCAATGGTCATTACATTACTATCATTTAATGATTGTTTTGATAATGATAATGGAAGAATACGTTTAAAACGATTAATAAGTCCACGTGGTGAAAAAAATGATGATGATTTTGTTTTAGCAAGATTTGGTTCACTAATACCTTTCTTCATTGCAGATTTTATATTTGTAAATGGATGATTTTGTTTTGGTTTTGTAATTGATGTACGAATACCTAAATCACTTTGTACTGGTTTCATTGTTTGTGATTTTTTACTATTATTATATAAAAATTGTTGACCATCTTGTTTATTAAATGTTGATACAGGTGTTTTTAATTCTTCATAAATATTTTCATGTGGTATAAAATTATTTGTATTATCTATTGATTTATTTAATGGTAAAAGACCACTTGATAGTAAAGCATTTGAAACACCTACAGTTAAATCCATACAACTAGCTGAACGAGCACCTAGATCAAATGTAGGTGAATCACTACTTGATGATGAAGATGATGGTACTTTCTGATCAATTGTTTGTGATAAATAATCATAACGATTTTCATGTTGAAATGTTCTTGGTGGTTTTCTTGGTGGTGAATGTTGTTGAAATAATGGATTTTCAACAATGGGTAATGGACTATCTTCTCTCTCATTCGTTTGTTTTTTAACAACAACTGGACTAGGAGTAGATGATCCTCCTTGTTGAATTTGAAAACCTGTTGAACTTGTTGAACGTAATGTATGTTTTCTTCTTAAAGATAAACATTTTTCTGCACTATCATCATTTAATTGAAGTTTTTCATTAGTCGAATTATTACCATCAGGAAATGAAGTCGTTTGAACAATATATTTTGTCGATGATGTTGATGAAGTTGATGATATTGATGGTGAATTAAGTACAGGTGGATTACGAATTGATGTATGACGAACAACAGATACTGGACGACGTTCAAAAGTTGATGTAGGTGAATGATTTATTTTAACACGTGAACGACTTATTGATGAAGGACTATCAAAAACATCATCACTTGAATCTGAATTAGGTACTCC